CCACCCCTTTGCTCCATGGAAAACAGCACCTCACAGCGGTGAGATCTGTGTTTCTTTGCCGGCGAGGGAAACACTTTATAGTATGTTTCTTGATCATTGGTGTGTCTTCTTCTGCAAATTCCCTGCCGACGTTAATTCTGGCTTCATCATTAACCTGGCGTTTCAGAGACGCAATGAAGACCCCTGCTGCCCTGTGCCCGGGCACACCCAACCTGGAGGCCAGCTTCTTGGACAGGGAAAAGAGACCTTCTGAACAGTCAAACGCAAACCCAAATGTGCAGGCGGTGAAAGAAAGGGCCAGGGCGCTTTTGGAAAGCAGAAAAGATGATCCGATCCACTTAAACCTTTGCTGTTTGTGTTCAGTATTTGGAGAAATTTAACCAGAACTACAGTGGGAAAAGGAGGCCTGGAGGAGACCGAATTCCCGGCCACTGAGAAAGAAGGGGGTGGGGTTTCTAGTCCGGACGCTAATGAGTGCTGCAACGGAGCACGGGGCAGAGATCTCAGACAGAGGCCTCGGGGCTCCCACTCTAGAGCTACTGCTTGAGACAGCGGCAAAGGGGCTGAGAAATGTACGAAAGCGGACCAGCTGTTATCTCAACCCCTCCGGAAATGACGGTGCTACTCCAAAGGGACACAGGAGTAGACATAACATTCTGATTTATACACATTTAAAAAAGAAATAGCTAATAAGTAAAGAGAAAGCCGTGTGTGGCTGAGAGGCTCCATTTGTCCTCCGAGGGCGGCTATGTGCAAACCCCACCCGGAGCATTCGGCACTCCTAGTCGCAGGAAGAGGGTGGTCTTCGCCTCATTCGCGGCCCCCGGGTTCAGGAAAATGTCTCTGATGAAGACCTGCTGCTCAGGAGCCATCTTCAGAGGACCCGCTGCCTTGTGTGTTTAACAAGAGCGACCCCAACAGCTGTGCAGAGAGGCGGGGGGGCGGCGCTTTCTGCTCCTTCTTCCCAAAGGCCAGGCTTCTAAGTGCTCAGAAGAGATCTCTCTGTTTTACTCAGGGTGGGAGGGTGTGGAAAAGAACGTTCTCTTTCAAATAATTTTTTAAAAACCAAAAAATGAATACTGCAGAGATAGACTTCAATTTATACCATATAGCCACCCCTTAAAGGTGATGGTAAAGCAAATTAGAACACCATTTGAATAGTACAAAGTCATACCCCAAACCATATTTTAAAATGACCCTGGAATGCTGCAAGCCTTTTTTCTCCTCAGATACAGTATTAAGCCTCTGTGAGGAAGTCATAAAAGCAGCCAGGCCCTGTCCCATGCCTTGAAATAGCCATTGAATGATTTCTTGATTCATCTCTTCCTTCTATGAAGAACTGTTCGCAAGCAGGAGACATGTGTCCCACTGATGAGGAGAAGGCATCCACGGTCTGTTTCTAGACCCATGTGAAAAAGAGACGCGTCTCATGTTGCATTTGGTCTTTGCGCTTCACCTCTGCCCCATGCTCCCCACCCCAAACGGAACCTTGCCTTTGAGGGACGTAACCTTTTATCGGTTTATTTCAAGGGGTTAAACTCAATTTATTTAAACAGTCACCGAGAGCGTACAGTAGCCAGCAGACTGTGGCAGTAAGAGGACGCAATTTCCAGGCCATCGGTGCCTGGGGAGGTGAAGGCGTTTCCGTAGACAGGAAATAAGAAACGTGAGGCAGGAGCCCAGATTCAGTGACCCGGGGCTCAGAGAGCTGCAGGCCTTTATTACCGAGGGTCAATGCTGCTGCTAATGTGTTCAGTGTCCTGATGCAGATCAGTTTATTTTTACACATGCAGCTCTCTGGGACTAATGAGAAGAAAATCATTGTAAGTATTTAATTTATATGCTAAATTAGTTTTCTGTAAGTAGGTTTTTAATCCGTGTATGCAGACAGAGTGGGGGAGCAGGGCTGAGCTTTCGCTGTGCTGCTTTTGAATGAAACTGGATTTCCGTGCATTCCAGAGGTTTGAAAAGTCATGTATTTTTCAGCTATCAAAATTTAAAAACACAAATCTTTTGACCCAGCAGTCCACAGTGTGAGGACTAGAGACTACAGATATGATTCCAAATACCTGCCAAGAATGAAAGAGTCACTGGCTTTTTTTTTTTTGTAAAAGCAATTAAAAAACGGATGACTGCTTAAATAAATTATGGCATATCCATATGATGGAATACTATGAATAAATTTAAGAGAATAGAAGATTTTTATGTGCTGATGTGGAAGGAGCTCCAAGATATACTATTTAATAAAAAAAAGCAAAAGACATATGTAATATATGCAGCATTTGAAAACGAATGTATCAATAGAAACATGGAGATATGCAAAATATTTTCCTGGAAGAAATCACAAGAAACTGTGAGCAGGCTGAGGAGGCGTGTGGAGTGTGGGGTGCAGGGAGGGAGGTTTTAATGTCCTCCTTCTGTGCAGCTAAAAATTTTAATCTTATACATGTGTCACTTTTTTATTATTTTATTTTTTATTGTTAACAGGGGCTATCTAGACAGGGAGATAATCAGATATTTTCCCCCTTTTCTCTGCAATTAAAAAATATCCTAAAGGATGTTGTATTAAAAAAGCAAACAACAAAACACAACAGTAACTCAAAAACCATCCCAGGAAATATGCTCCTGGCAGTAATAGCGGACAGGTGAGCCCAATTTATTGTACTGATGAAAAACATGAAAAAAAAAGATATAAACACACACACACACACATTGCTTTAAATGTGTCACTGAGCTGGCAAACTCACGAATAAATACTAATAGAAGGACCTTCAGCGAAGAGCATAAGAAATATACTAAAGCATGTTTCAGAGATAAAAGGGATATGACTTCAGATGTTAAGATCAGAGATGCATGAAGGAAGAGTGAGAAAAGATATTAGCCACTCCAAGTACATTTCTACTAGACACTTCTGTAGACATTGACAAGCAGAATCTGAAATTTACACAGAAGAACAAAGATCCAAGGGTCGCTAAGATACTCCTAGAGGAAAAGAACAAAGTAGGAGGCCTTCCCTTCCTGAATACTAAGACTTGTAAAGTTAGCGTAAAGCCAGGAAATAACTAGCCCAGGAAAGAGCAAATAGACCAATGGAGAGATAAAGATCCTATGTAGGACCTTGTGTATGTCTGACAACTTGATTTATGAGGCAGAGGGCACCATCGACCAGCGGGGAAATAGATGGCCCTGAGACACGGAAAGCAATTAAAGATTATTAAAATTTACTACATTAAGAGTTTTCGTTCATCTAAAGACATCATAAATATAAGACAAGCTAAGAACAGGAGAAAAAAAACCATTTGCAATACTTACTGCTGAAAAAAACAGTAGCATCCAGAATAACTAAAGAATTCCTGCAATCAATAGAAGACAATTCAGAAGAAATAAAGGACAAAGACACAAACAGGGATCTAACAGAAGAGGAAACACAGAGGTCCGTAAACAGGAAAAACATGCAAACTTCCGGCAGTCGGCAGTGTTTTTAAATTCAGCTATAACTCAGAGGGGAATCCGTCACATAACCAGCCAGTGAGTCAAAATGTCAAGCGGTTGTAAGGATGAAGATGTAGATCTAGCACTAGGAGCTCTCAGCTCCCCTGGCAGAAGAGTAGGGTTACATAACCAACTTGGAAAAATGTGCCGTTCCTGAGTCAAGGTGACACGTGCAAACCCGCAATTCGGCAGTTCCAGAGACCCACTGGCGCATGGGTCAGGAAACACAGATGAGAATGTGCACAGCGGTTTTGTTCGTAATTGGGCAAACTGTCTGGCGAGCACTAATGGTGATCCGGACACGTTAGCTGGGCTCTGCACGAGAATCCCAGTCCCCGTCACAGAGCGCCACCAGCCGTGCGGCGGGAATGAAACATGTCCACGCAGCCACAGGGATGAATCCCAAAATCTTGAGTGAGAAAAGCAATCAGGATACATGAAATAGGATTCTATTTATGCAACATTCAAACATAGGAAAACTAAATAACATATATTATTGAAAAATTACAGAGGTGATGCATTTATAAAGAAAAGTAGGAGAACCCTGGCTGGTGTGGCTCAGTGGATTGAGCACCAGCCTGGGAACCGAAACATTGCTGGTTCAATTCCCAGTCAGGGCACGTGCCTGGGTTGCGGGCCCAGTCCCCAGCTGGGAGTGTGCAAGAGGCAACTGACCGATGTATCTCCCACACACTATTTCTCTCCCTCTATTTCTCCTTCCCTCTCCCTCTCTCTAAAAGTAAATAAATAAAATCTCTTTTAAAAAAAGAAAGAAAAGGAGGATGAATAATTCAAGATGCAGGAGAGGGGTTTGCTGGGTGGGGTAGGAAGAGGGATGATAGGAGGGGGCACTTGGGGTGCCAAGGGACCTGTGATGCTCTGGCTCCTAAATGGAGAAGGGGGTGCGTGGCATTTTCATCTTGGCCTTTAAATCGTACAATGCATTAAATGCATCTTTTATATATGCGATATACTTCATGGGGAAAAAGCACACACACCCATCTTTCTGAGCACAGTGGGGACTGGACCATCGGCCAACAAGAGAGGAATTTATCAATGGATTTACAATGTGATTCCCTAGCTTTCAATTCATTGTATCCCTTTATCAGAGTGATGTACTGAGGCAGGATTCAGTCAAGCTTAGAAATAGAGCTTGCACTAAGGCACCAGAAGATAAACCGGAGTGCACATGAGAAGCTACAAACAGCAACAGTGTAACGTTATACACCGCTTTCTCTGCCTCTCAGGTAAAAAAACCTCAAATACTTAGTTAAACAGAGAAGAGCTGAAGGCACGATTCTATGTGAATAGGCAATGCCACCTGCTAGAACCAATTAGGTGGCAGGAATGTACTTCCCGTAGTGAAGGCGGACCAGGACCGCTAAAGCCTACGTGTAAAATAGAATTCTTCTGCCACAGACACTCGCCTGCCTTCAGAAGACCTGACACCAGCCTTGAGGTGCTGATCACGCTACTGAGTTCTTTCACGCCGCAGTCCGCACACTCACCTGTGTTTGACCATTTTTTGATCATGGCAAAAATGACTGAAGAACCTCGCGTAGAACAAGTGCATGACGGCGTGTTCTTTCCCTCCAATGTACAAATCCACGGGCATCCAGTAGTCTGCCAACACTGCGTCGAAAGGCCTGGGAGGGAGGGAAATGGCCGTTTTTAAAAACCTGCTCTGCCACAATTGCGTGAGACAGACTGACTGTAATTTTGCATAGGCCCTGAAATAAATTACGTCAGAGAAAAACAGAGCGTGCCTGTTTAAAATATAAGAAGAGGAAAACCTTATATAACAAAGGAGGAAAAAAATGGGCTCGGTGTTAATTTACAGAATTTACAGAAACAGTTTCAGAAGCTGTTACTGACATATTTTAACAAATGCAATTTTTATATAAAATGAGGGTGAGAGAAAAATACACCAGTGGGAATAAAGGTACTTCTGTAGAACGCATATCGGACTAGATTTATTTCGATTTTTATTATGATAGAAAAATCAAAATTTTAAGTTCTTACCAATAGGGGGCAATGTGTCATTTACAATGGAGAGTACCACGTAGATATTAAATGTTCATTTTAAAACAGAAATTCAATCTTATTTTTAAAATGCAGTCAGCAAGAGCTTGTATATGGCTCCTGACTGCAGTGAGCAAATTTAGGGTAACCGTCGGGAAAGAGCCCCCAAACTCCCTCTCACGTAAGAGGTTTATAGCCCACAAAGACCCTAAAAGTAAGGTGTTCTCATGCTCCTGGGCCCTCAAGGCTGCTGGGAAGGAGAGGGAGCGCCCCTTCCCTCTCTTTTCTGGCTGGGACTCTGGGTCTGTGAGTGTGCAGAGGTGTGTGCGTGCGCGCGTGTGTCGGCGCAGCGCTGCTGGGGACGGACCTCTTCCTTCCCCAGGGGGTGTCCTCGGGGGAGGCCAGCCGATGCATTCGGACTCCAGGGTTTCAAATATCTGTGAGTTGCCCTCCACTTATGTCCCCCATACTTCCCCCCCCCCCCCCCCCGCAACCCTGCTCCTGCTTCACGCAAGAGCCTGGTGCTCGGCAGGTGAGCCTGTCCAACCACCCCGCGCCGCACCTTCCTGCGGCTCGGTCACTGCTCCTGCAATCACCATGCCAGCATAGCAGTAAAATTAATTTTTTTTTCTTTGTGAAAAATGGCTCTCCAGAGAAATCCGACTGCTAATCCAGGTGATGGAAAAGCAAGGGGAGTCTAGGATGGTCCTCAGCCCCAAAACAAGTTTGGGAGAAACTGGGGGCTGGCTGCTAAAAGCGGGCCCGGTGCGCCTAGATCTGCAATCCGCGCGGAAACCCCGAGCGCGGCTCCCACCGAGCGCGGCTCCCACCGAGCGCGGCTCCCACCGAGCGCGGCTCCCACCGGCGCGCGCACTGCACTGGGGGAGGAAAGCCACGGGCCGCGCGGCAGCCCCGCGCTGGGGGCCGTGCAGGCCTCTCGCCGCGAGGAGGGCTCGTCACGGTCATTTAGTCTCCGACACCTATGAGAAGCTTTTCCTTTGAAGCTCTCTGAGAGGTCGGGAGCCCGAGTCCCTCGAGTCCCAAGCCAGCCGTTACTTGGTGGCCCCTCGGAGAAGGAACCCCAGAAGGGGGTCCCCTCTGTGGTTTAGCCGGGGCCACCCTGCGGCTCCCAGCCACAACGGTCCCCCTGCGCCCTGCCTGCCTTTGCTGGCTACTGTCCTCAGAGCCCCACTCACAGGGCCTGAACCCACCCGCCAGAACCTCAGCGCTGCCGGGCGGGGCGGCGTTGGCCCGTCTCACTGCAAATATGTGATTTTACAAGCAAGGAAGAAAAATGGTGCATTTTTATAACATGGGCCTCAGGGTTTCAGAATAATTGTTCTCCCACAGACAAGGGCAGGCTGGCAAAGGTCTCTGAACACAGTGGCTTTTTGCAGTTTTTCCTGTGCTCTGCAATAGTTTTGTCCTCATTCTCTTTTTACCTGTCTACCTACTGCGCTCCTCCCTTTTGTATCTGCTTTGCCAAGGAAACATACGCTCAGCTGAAAACCCAGCAGCACAGAAGGCGCGCCACTCAGAGCAGCGGGCCCCGCCCCTTCCGGCACTAACCACCGCCCCCCCCGCCCCTCCCCATCCCCTCCCCCCAGCACCCCGGCCCCTTGGCCACGTGTAAATCCCCTCGGTGGCTTCTTCTGGCAATTATTGAACACATGTGTATGCTCTTTGTTGACTTATCAATTTTAGATATGAACAGTTGCTTGCATGAGAAGAGGTGGTGTTTCTTAGCTCTCATAAACCCTACCCTCTACCCTCCCTGTATAGTTACATCGGTTATTTTCAGTTAAGTAAATAACATTGGATCTTTCCAAGGGCACAAATGCAGGGTGGTGCGGGGCCAAGGGGGAGGGCTACAGCACTTCCTTCCTTCTCCTGTGTTTTGGCTTTTTTTTTTTAATTTTCTATTTTATTTTTAGAGAGGGAGAAACATCAATGTGTGGTTGCCTCATACTCCTCTCACTGGGGACCTGGCTCGCAACCCAGGCATGTGCCCTGACTGGGAATCGAACTAGCGACCCTTTGGTTTGCAGGCCAGCGCTCAGTCCACTGAGCCACGCCAGCCAGGGCCCTTCCCCCCACTGTGTTTTATCTTTCTTTTACTGGGGGCTTCCTTGGCCATGAAGAATCGAATTCAATCATCTAACAACACACTCCCTTTGCAAGATCTGTTTCAAGGAGCACATGGCCCACAGCTCCATCTTGAAACCCACTGGGTGTCCACGCTGTCCCAGAGGGAGCAGACCAGAGCAGCGTCATCTCAGCCCGAGCTGGGACTCTGATGGCCCGCCTCTGCCCGGGGCTTCCTGTCGGCCTGGCGAGACTCTCTCAGGGCCTCACTGCGTGCTCTAAGGCTCTCCCTACCCGGTCCCCTTCCCTCCCGGGCTCCCTTCCCAGGTGTCGGACCTGCATCGTGGTCCAAGGGCGCCCCCGGTCGACTGCTGCTCCCTCACCCTTCATTCTCCATGGGCACCTCCCCCAATAAACCTCCCGCATATCTGATTCCACGCTGGTGTGTGCCCTGTGGAACACCTGCCCGACCACGAGGAGGAGCTGGGCGGGGCTCTACCTGTGAGGATTGTGGGGGTCGGTGTATCTGAGGTAGTACCAGGCGGAGTCCACAAAGGTATCCATCGTGTCTGTCTCTCTCTTGGCTGCTCCCTTGCACCTAAGAAATAAATGAAGTTCATCAACTGGTTTCTTTTCAGTATTAATGCAGTTTTCCACCAGCTCTTGAGAAACCTATGGTAATTAGGAGGAGTTTGAAATGTCATAAGAACAATGCCACGTCTGAAAAAGACAATTCAGAGACAGCTCTCTTCCTGTATTGTCCCCTAAATGATGTTTTAAAGAAATTTACAAAATAAAAGTTTCAACCTTTAACAATGAAAACCCTATTCTCCGCTTCTCCAAATTTACCTGTTGGAAACCTAACCTAAAACAAGACAAGAGCGTCTTCTTTGCGCATTAACTTCTATTTCAGGCATGTCAAGCCTGCCTTCAGCCAATGCCTACTTTACAACGCTTCAGAGGAAAATCAATTTACGAAGTTGAAAATCAAATGTAGCAAGATGTTGCACTGAAAAATGAACTCATTTTGTTTTGTTTTTTAAACCTCTGCCCTAGGGGACGGGGTACAGAAGTCCACAGGGGTGACCTCAGACAATAAATCATCCTCGAGGCCCAAAGGCAGAGTGCGCTGCCGCAGGTTCACCCCAGCTCGTGGGGAAGGCCCGTGAGCGCCGCCTCCCCTCTCGGCGACAAGTGAGGTCAAGCAGGCAGCCTAAAACCAGCCCTGGGGGGGCGTACACACAGCACCGAAACCGGCAACACTGCAAATCGGAAGCCCCCTCCAGAGAGCTGTTCAGTACACATTCACCAACGTTCACTACCTCAACACAGGCTCCTAACGGAAGGGCGAAGACAAACCTACTGGTCAGTAAAGTAAATGGAAAGCCTGGGTGTGGGAGGGGCTGAGAAGAACGAGCAATCCACACCCATGGTAGGGAAAACGGGAGTGTTGGACAGGGTTCCACCAGGGCCCGACGGCTGGACCAGTTGTGAGGTGCGTTCCTAGGGTGGTGGGCCTGGGGAGTGAAGGATCCGGGTGCCCAAAGCCACAACTTCTTGGGTCCCAAGAGAGGGTGCCCTTCGTCAAGCCTAGCTAAGGAGGGGGCTCAGCTCCCCTGAAGGCCCCTCAAGGCCTGGGCCAGCAGTGGATGGGCTGGGTGGCAATGAGAAGCCACACAGACTCAAGGCTCTCCCTTCAGCCACATGGAAGCAAGGGCAACCATGCCACCAAATGCCGCCCTGTGGGCAGTATGAGTCCTCGGGCGCTCCTGGAGACGCGGAGCGGCCCGGGGAGCCCCGCGATGAAGCGATGACTCCTCGTTAATGCGGCATCAAGGGCTCGAGTCCGCTTTTAATGTTTAAATAGAAGAAAGGCCGCACTTCTCTCTCACATGTGTGAAGCAGTTCACACTGGCTTTACAAACATCGCCGAAGCAAAGAGCCACGCCCCTCCTCCCCCTTGTTAAGTGGAAGTGGCTGAGCAGAGTCCGGAGCCCCAGATATGAAGTGGGGTGGGCGCTGGGACTCCCAGGAACCTCTTGCACTTTAGTCAGGGGGCTCCCCCGGAGAACAGTGGTGGCCCCTGGAGGGTAGGAGCTTATCAGAGAAACCCCCCCTCCCAGGAAACCGTTTGCTAGCACCCAGTGCTGCCCTGAGACACCGATCTCAGCAGTGCGGCTCTAAATGAAAGGCAGCTCTAAACGAAAGGCAGGTCGTCTCATTTGGAGAGCTTTCAGCTAGAACACAGACACTATTTCGGGAAGTAGTTAGAAGATAAGGTCACTTCCTCTCCCTCGCTGTACAAGTTGGGAGGAGAAGGCAGGCCTCGGTGGAGAAAAGGAATGACACGCGGCCATGCGGGTTTTCTTCCGAACGGCCCTGTTGGACTTACAGACCAGCGACGCGCTTCACTGCGCCTCTAAGGCTGGCCAGCGTGGAGAGGTGATTCGCGAGCAGGAGAAATGGGCGACGGTGACAGTGACGCGATTATCGTTATTCGCTGCAGTCGTGGCAACGCTAACCCCGGGCAGCAGGCGCTGGTCACGCTTCACAGGCCTGACTGCAGACGCGGTCTCGGCGGGGGACACGGCTCCTCACCTGGGGCAGGGGCAGTTCACCCACTCTGCGGCCGTGGCCAGCGGGGAGCCTCCCTTGCCAGTGAGAGACGTGATGCTGGGCAAGGTCACAGGCAAGTCCTCCAGGGGCACGGGCACAGGGCCGCAGGCCGGGCAGTGGACCATGGGGATCGGCGTGCCCCAGTACCGCTGCCTCGAGATCAGCCAGTCCTTCAGTTTGTCACTTGTCACATGTCCACCCACTCTCGTCCTCCGGGCTTTCTGAGTCAGGGCTAGAAACGCTTCCTGCCGGTTCATACCTGTGAACTGAGAGGGAAGGAGATCCTGTTCCTCCCAGCACAAGAACAAATCACCGCCCCCACGCCGCCAGCGGGACGGCTGCGTTTACGTGGTTCTACATGGGTTTCCGCGAGTGCCCCGTGCCTTTGCCTTCATGGGCCCCTTCCTCCCTAGGATAATACTGAAAATTATACTTTATGTTGAATAAAAAGGGATATAATTTTTGACCCTGAGAGTTCACTTTTTCTTGTGATTTTATAAGAAACTAAAATCTTTTGGGAGGGCCCTAGGCAACGTTCCACGGGGCTGTATAATGGCTAAAGTGGCCCTTGTTCGGGGGGTTCCCCGCACCCCCGCCTGCAGAGAACATCAAATGCCAGCATTCAGCTGCCGGTGAAGAACTGCATGGTACGTATTTTCAATGACTGCTTCTCTGTTGAGGAACGGAAAATATCCAGAAAAGAAAAATTCAATATTGCCCCAAAGCAGGAATGAGGTCAAGCAGGGAACAGAACGTGGGGTCCCAGCTTGAAGAACTGGAACCTCTCTTTTGTACCTAAATCCTTCCATTTTATACCCAGCAGGGCAGAACCCTAACAGTAGAAAAGAGAAACTCTCTTTTCACCTGACGCTCTTCAGGGAAGGAAACGAATGACAAGGATCGGGCCAGCGTGGCCTGCTGACAGGCGCCACGGTGAGCACCTGGCATCGGCTCAGGGACGGGGCCCCGCCCTCAAGGAGCTCGCACCCAGGAGCCAAAGGAGTAAGAACCCCCAGCTATGTTGACCAAAAGCAGCGCTTCTCAGGACGGCCCTGCAGCATCCCTGGAAGCACAGAGCCCTCCAGCAGGACCCACTTCCCCCGGGGAGGGCGTCTCCTGTCCCGCCCCCCACGGGCACCCCTGTTGTGCTGCACATGCTCACTAGCTCTCCCAAAAGTCTCTCTTACCCACGCAACACTGTTGGTCCCTCCCAGAAACTCATGAATGAGAGAGATTTCCTGGAACAGGTCAGTTTTCTCAAGCAGAAGGGTCCCAAAATAAAGCTTAGTTGCTGTGAGAACCATACTATTCTAAAATCAGGCTCGCTTAGAGTTGAGAGACTTCTAGATCTTGAAAAGGAATGTTATTTTGCTTTCGCAGCTTAAGAGATGAGGCAGCAAGACTGTTAGGTGCAGGAGGAGAGACACAGCGGGTGGTCATTTGCCCCAAAGGCAAACGTCTCATCGGACTCACGTGGAGGTCATGAATTTAGAAGTCAGTACGCAGGCCCCGGCCACGGGCACCCACCTCAGCGGAGCCGCTCAGTCTCTCCGTGCCATCTGGCAAAGTCTCGATGACGTCGGAGTAGGGCAGGCCCAGGCTCCGGGCTACGACGGTGTCCTCTGAGCTGGTGCTGGGAATTCCTACCAAGAGGGGAAGAAACACAAAACGTCTCCCTTGCACCGACCCTTAGCTTTAGTTGCTACCAGGAGGTGCCCTCTTTGTTTGTGACCGAAGCCGTAAAAGTACACACCGCACACTACATCCCCCGGGACGCAGGAAAACGAGCTGGGGAAACGCACCGCCCTAACACGACCACTTTACCTCCTTGTATTGTTTCCTTTAAGTTTTCTTCCTTTGCTTAGTTTCTCTTTCAAAATAGTTGCGATTCTAAAATACACATTTTGGGGTGCACTTTGGGGTCGCTGACATAGTGAACCGCAGGCCTTGGGGGGAGCCTCTCCTTTGACCTCCTCAGGGATATAGGACAGTTCCTTCTGGGGACGAGGCTGACTCCTCCGGCATGTCCCAGCACCCCAGAAAAATCCTCTCCGTCGGGGAGCCAGAAGCTGGCAGCCGGGTTTCTTCCTACTGCGCTTTGTTCCCAGAGGCAACGGCACATTCTAAAGAGACATTTATTCTCTCACCCACACATGCCCTTGAGGAGACGGAGTTGAGTGTTGAGAGAATCACTCATCCCGATGGCCAAGGCCTGCTGTGCTGGCATCGGCGGTTCAGACACAGGCTTTCCAACCCGACAGGCGGGTTCTGGATGGGTCCGAGCAGCAACCCCGGCCTCCACCAGGAGCACCGCCCCCACACTGTGACAAACAAAAATGTCTCTAAGGTTGCCAGATGGCCCCTGGCTGAGAACTCCTGCTGTAGGGTCCACGGCTGGGACTGCGGACACCCTTGTGGAAGCAGCATATCGTGTGGCGTCTGAGGGGGGCCGAACTATGGGGGCTGCACAGAACACTCAGGCCAGACCCCTGCGAACAAGCTCTCGGGAGCTCTGGCCTAAGGGCGGGGGGAGTTTCGTGTTGGAAGACAGGCTGGAGGGCTCCTGGGTAAGACGGAAGCTCCGTGGTTGGTGTTGTAGATGAGATTGTTGACAGAGGACACCTAATGAAGCCAACACATGCTCACGGAGGATCCGAAAAACATTGAAGGCTGAGGACAAGCGATAAATATTACTGCAAAGTGTTTGCGGTCAAGAAGGGAAAAAAGAGCCATTTACTACCTTCCAAAAGTGCGTGGCTCGGAGTAACGAGGGGTAGTGCTCGAATGCGGGTCTGTGGCACAGGGTTCATCGGACCACAGAGATAAATCAGGGCCGTGGAGTGGTCACATGGGCTCAGGTGTGCACTGTGCAGTGGTGATAACATGCAGGTAAGGTGGCCGAATCACTGCCTTCCCTCGTTTGATTTCTGTCTCTGTTCTTGGAGAACAAGAGGCAGTAAGTTAGAAAAACTGTGGGAAACCAAGACACGAGGAAATATGATCTTACAAGCACACCTAAAATACCAGATTTTTTTCCCCTTCAGAACACTCATTGTTTGTCAGTGCTTTGACTCAAAATACCATCAACAAGGGCATCCTTTGTTGTTCATCGTGGCTAGTGGTATTAATGAATGTTACTAGTTATAAAATGCATAGAAGTAGTAGTAGATGTTATTTCCTTTAAGTGACACACTTTCTAGGTTTAAATTGTCAGAAGAGAATGACCTGAACGGCTTAATATCTGTTTTCTGCGTTGGTGTTCCTTCAAATCGCTTTGTCAACAGCGGATCTGAGAATCGTGAGGACAGACACGATCCCGGTAAGAAATGCTACATTGCACTGTGGACACTGGCCGGAATCTGCAGCTGGAGTGTTGATAAGAGAGGCGCTTGGGCCCATCCGGGGGGCCGATCCGGACGGGCTGCCTTCAGCTGCCGCCGCTGGCTCCTTCCCGGGCTTCCTGCTGGGCGACGATCGTTTGGAACGCTCACGAATGAGTGATGCTGCTAAGGGTATCCACTTTACAGTTGTAAACACGCCCTCCATTCCACTGCAGTCTCACGCTCCTTTCCTTGAACAGCTCACGTTCACCTCCTCCACAAAGCCTTCCCCACAGTCCCAGCCCACGTCGGCGGTTTGCGCGCGGAGCGCCCATCTCGGACGCTGCCGTGGGTTCTGAGTCCTGAAACGGGACTTTCAGGCCGCGTGCACGGTCCCCCACACCGTGGGTGCGAGTCTCACCAGCCAGCTCTACTGGCAAGATCCGCATATTTTATCCTCAGTGGCAACTAGCAAGGTGCGATATACTTGACGTTTTCCGAAGCAGTTCTGAAAGACAGGAGACTGAAGGAGGGAGCATTCGTCTTTACAAAGAGACAAAGTGGATCACGGAGTCAACAGTCGGCTCTTTCACTTGACGGCAACGGGCTAGTCCTTTGATTTTAAGCCTGCTAAATTAACATTATCCCGATTACATTTTAATAGCTACTTACCTATTTTGGAATCCAGAGAGCCCTCAAAGTCAGCTTTGGCCAAGATGACGACAGGGACCTCCTGCTGGGTGAGCAGGTTCACGGCTGTCACGGGCGTGAGGCAATCTGCAAATGAGAGCAAAGAACTGTGGGTACCAGCCAGCTGGGGCCACCTGAGTCTCAGAGGAGACAGGTGAGAAACACAAGCGTCTGGACTCCTGTGTTTTGTGCTAATAGTTAGAGTTTGTTCTTCGAAGGTTTTAATGGATTATTCACACCAGTGGAAAATCAAAAGATTAAACAAATACACGAAAATGTTCATCCATGCTCATAACCAAAGGAGTGAAAATGGCATTTTTACTTTGCAGGTATTGGAGAAAAGACGTTCCTGCAACTCCTCTTTTCCTTTTGAAAGATACCTCAAGGAGACAGTCGAATGAGCAACACAGAAATCCACCTATGGTAAAACGAGGAGGCGCCTGGAATTCCAAATCATAACACTGGGAGATGGAAGAGGAGTAGAAAATGACTGAGCAGAGAGATTTCCAGGCATACAGAGTCAAAACAGTTTCTTCCCACATGCCCTTTCTTAGGAGATACTAAAGAATGTGTCCCAGCAAATGAAGGGGTAAATCAAGAAAGAGACAGACTTGGGGCCCAGGAAACAGAGGATCCAACAAAGGAAACAGGGCAGGGTATTTGCAGAACAAAGTCTGAGGGAAGTGCCTGGATGACCGCTGCGCCGCAGGGGCCTGGAGGGTGGCCGACCAGGTCAGAAGGAGGCAGGACAGAAGGCCCAGGAAGCATCTTCAGGATAAAAAGGGAATCGATACATTTATCTGACAGGTCAGAATCTGTAGAAAACTGTACTGCGAGGAGTTTTTGGAAAGAGCTTCAGGGAGGGTGTGGGAAGACATAGAAATTCAAAGAACACCAAAGCAAATGAAAAAAAATGAGGACATCATGAACTTCAGGAAAAACGGGAAGTTATATAAAAAGGAGAATGTACTCATAGTATCCTTGGCTCAGCTGTGAATGATATTTATGTGGTCATAATAAAACACTTTATTTAGAACTATCCAAAACAGTGTGTCATCTAAAATGAAGCTGGCGACAATACTGCAGCAGGGGAACAAGCCATATATACGTGAACCTTCACTAAATACACGTAGAACTGGAAACACAAGGACCCCAGTAAAGTCCCGGAAGAAGGGATGAGGAGATGAACTCAATGAGTGAGTTCACTTGAGCTTACTGCAGCATAAGCAATTTATGAACTCTTACTATTTACCCTTGCAATGTTTTAAGCCTTCATATAATGATCTAAAATATGTTTTACAACCCCCAAAGTTGAGCCTAGGAAGTAGGACTTCTTTTTCAGAGGGAAAGATCGGCTCTGTAGGCATCTAAGCCAGGCCTATCTTCTCTCAGAGTGGGTGCCAGGAAGACAGGTCGGGGAACGGTGGGGACAGAGTGAAATGCAACCCACGTGGGTCTCCGGGGCGGAAGCTCGGCAGCAGCCACGGGACTACGGCAGAGAGACAGCTGCTGCTCACGCTGCTTCCGGGCTGACGCTTCTCACAGTGGAGACCCAGACTCCTGGTTCCATATTGTCCCATCTCAAAGACAGGGGGTGTGTTTGCAAATTCTGCAGTGATGCTATCATGTTCTTAGGAGGATGGAAGGGGAGGGGTGGTGAAGTGAGAGAACAAGCACAAGGTGATGTCTAGAACTGGTGGACGGAGAGACAGCAGTGTAGGCCTGTCTTCAGACACATGGGGTTTGCGCCCGAGACCCAGCCTGGGGCGCGGGCGGCCCGCTGACGCCGGCCACCTCTGCCTCCCCTCCTGACTCAACAATGGGATGTTCAGCAGGACACAAGGCACAGAGCTAGTGGCAGCACTGAGCAGCACCACTGACACTAGATGTCGCCGTGTGTACCAAAATCTAGTCCACACTCTCCAAGAAAAGGGGATGCCCTTCCTCTTGCCTCCTCCTTAAGATGAAGTGGAGAACATCTCAGAGCACACAGATAAGGGAGGGGTCCCAGAGCAGGAGCCAGGAGGAGCCTGGGTCCTAACTCCTCCCCAAGCAGATTGGCCACGCCCACTCCAAGTTGAACATCGGCAAGAAATAAACTGCTGTCTTAAGTCCCTGTATTTCTAGGACTCTGTCACAGTCACTGAGCTTACATTTTAAGTAATACACACCCAAAATAATTACCAGGGGTTGAGTAAGAAGGCTACCATTATTGTCGTTAGTAGTAGTTTTGACTTTTCATGTAATATACATGTACCGCTTGGACTTTAAAAAATAAATTAATTTTTTAAAAGAGAGATGGAAATTAAAGTAATCTTGAAGAATTATCATTTTCTACCCAAGTTGGCAAAGGCTTTGAGAAGGCTAATATCAATATTTGTGAAGCTGCACTGAAATTCATCTGCCTTTGGTGATGACACTGTAAACCGCTACAGCCCTTTCAGAAACCAATAAAAGCAACAAGTAATGAGAACTAGAAAAATGTTCATAACCTTTGACCAAAAAATCCCCGCTCTCGGGAACCTCTCCTGAGGAACCAGTTCTATAGAGGCAAAGAGCTGGGTGAACACAAGTGTTTATAGTACCTACCTTCATAACAGCACCAAACATGAAAAAGGCCACATGTCCAATATGATAGGGAAGATTTAGGGTATGATAGAAAATTGAGTTGAGAGAATATTGTGTATGGATTGAAAAACAATTGTGAAGTCTGCAAATAAACAAATATTTTCTGATGTCACATTAAGCAAAGACCAGAAGGAAAGACAGAAGCACTCTGATTTTTAAGATCCAAGTATGTAGACACAAGAATTAAAAAGTACTATGGCCATATGCAAAGGCATGAAGTTGGACCCTACCTATGCCTTATTAAAAAATTAACTAAAAACTTATTAAAGACCTAAATGTAAGATCTAAAACTATAAACGTCTTAGAAAAAACATAGGTATAAATCTTCTTGATTTTTGATTAGGCAATAGTTTCTTAAATAGGACACCAAAAGCCAAAGCAAAAAAAAAAAAGATAAATTGAACTCCATCGGAAAAAAACTGCTTCAAAGGACATCATCAAGAAAGTGAAAAGACAACCCACAGAATGGGAGAACATTTTTTACAAATCATACATTGGATAAGGGACTTATATCTAAAATGTATAAAGAACTATTAAAATTAAGTAATAAAAAATAACTCAATTTAGAGAGCGGGAGAGAGGATAATGGGGGAAGGATCCATCAAAGAACACGTATGAATGACCCATGGACACAGAGAACAGTGTGGGGACTGACTGCGGGAGCGGGGGGCAGGGGAGGGCTGGGCAGAGGAGGGCACAGGGGGACACTGGGACAACTGTAACAGAATAACAATAATAATTTTAAAAGCCAATAAAAAATCACGTAATTTAAAAACGGGCAGAGGATCTGAATAGACATTTCTCCAAAGAAACACGAATGGTCAATAGCACATGGAAAGATGCTCAGCATCATCAGCCACGAGGTAAATCCAAACCCAAACCACGACGAGATGCCTCTGCACACCCACGAGGAAGACCATGATGACGCAGACAGGCAACCACAGGCGTTGGCGAGGCTGTGGAGGAGCCGGAACCCTCACGGCCTGCTTCCTGCTGGTGGGAATGGAAGATGGCACAGCTGCTGTGTGCAATGGTCTGCTATTCCTTAGCCACTTAAACAGTTACCATGTGAGCCTGCAATTCCACTCCCAGGTGTATACTCAAGGAATGAAAACATATATCCGTGCAAAAATCTGCACGGATGTTCATAGCGGCCTTACTCATAATGGCTAGCCAGGCGAAACAACCCAAGTAGCCATCAACTGATGAATGGATCCACAAAATGTGGTCTATCCACGTAATGGAATATTATTCTGACATAAAACGGGGTGAAGTGCTAACACAGGCTACAACATGGGCGAACCCTGAAAACATCACACTGAGCGAAAGCAGCCAGTCACAAAAGGGCAAAGATCATATGATTCCATTGATATGAAATGTCCAGACAGGCAAATCTTATGGAGGCAGAAAATGGATTAGTGGTTGCCCAGGGCTGGGGGAAGTAGGAGGAATGGGGGTGACCGCTAGAGGGCGTGGGATTTCTTTGAGGGGGTGGTGAAAATGCTCTAAAACTGACTGGTGACGTGTACAACTCTGTGCGTGTTACTAAAACCAGTGAATTACATACTCTAAACGAGTGACTTTTGCATGTGCGAATTATACCTCAATAAAGTCGTTACAAGACAAATATGAAAAACATGTAGAGAACTGCATTAAAAGGTTGGATTTTTTTCATCTTCTACATAGAAGTTGTTATGAGTTTTTCAATTAGACAAAAAAATTGGTCTTTAAACTTAAATATTAGCAAATTTGTAATTATACAATAGCACTATACATGATTGCTACACCAGGTCAAAATCTACTTCTTAAAAAGCATAAAACTAAAATACAAAGTTCCTGAGAAGATCCAGCTTTCCCCATATTTCTCATAAACCGTGTGCAGGCGACGTGATGCCAGAAGCCAAGGAAATCAAGAAGAAACCCAAAGCCACCGAAGCACTGCACACAGCGAGCAGACAACAGCCGAACACGTCCATAATGACAAAGGGAACAGTCCGGGCCAAAGGGCGCCCCTCTGTGCCCAGGGCCCCCCACTGCCAAGAGGGCAGGGCTTCCGTGCCTCCCGGGAAAACAGCCGTGCGACTTCATGCAGCGGTCAGCAGAGCAGTGAGTGCGCCGTGCAACGGTCCCCAGGACATTCTGTGGTCACCAAGCGTGCCAAGTGCTGCCTGGCCTCCACTCTAAGGCAGCCACGGCGCACATTGGCACTGCAAACCTTCTAAGGCGCCCAGCAGCTAGGAAAGCGGGGTTCTATTTCCTCCAGGTGGGGGGTGCCGAGGGGTGCTCCCCCCCCAGGGACCTCCCTGTGCAGTAGACAGTTTGGTTCAAGGACAAGCTGTTTTCTGTCCTGTCTCCTGTGGACACTGGGGAGGGAAGGGTCAGACAAGAGTGAGCAGTTAACCGTTTGATGTTCAGGGGCTTCCAGAAAAAGAGGCTCTTGCTCTCCAGTGTGCCAGTAACAACCCTTTAGGGATATCTCATTTACCCTATTGGCAAAAAAAAAAAAAAAACAATGCACCGTGCGGACCACCGGTGACTCAGCTCTGACACACGTGGTTCCAGAGCCCCAGGGTTTGGCTACTTTCGTTAAGTATTAGGAATGTAGGAAAAGACTCCAGGAAAAGCCAGGACAGATTCTAGACCTCTCATGGCATTTCCCTCTTGATGTTTTTTATTGTTTCTAGTGCTTATCAAGTCAGAGCTCACGTAACAGGACTTCGTCAGAAGCGACAGGCCGAGAAAAGGAGGCGACGTCAAAGGTTACAGAAAACTCAATGCCAAGAGCTCTACAGGGAGGGACCTTACTTCTCACTCCCTTAAAGGACTTTGTGCCACATTATGTGACACTGGGCAAAAACCAGGACATTTAGTCAGTAACGACAGCCACCCAAGCCGGAAATCAGAACGCTGTCTGTCCTTGCCACCTTCCAAAGAGTTGGCAGAGCGCCCCCCGCCCCCGTTCTGACACCCACTGTTCCATGGTCTTCACCCCCTCTTAATTAAGGGGACAAGCGTGTCCTCCTCCTCCTCAGAGCCAGTCACACCTGCATGCTGCCCCGACTTTCTGTGGTCACTGCTCTAGCTCGTCACCCTCGAAACCTGACCTGACACTCGAGGGAAAACCAAGCTGCCTGGCTGACATGAGCCAGTTGGCAACGGTGAAGGGCGACGCGCGGGCTTCAGATGAAACTTCAAAGGCCAAAGGAGGCATAGTCCATCGTCTGATGGTCATTTTCATTCACCTTTTGGGACAATTCCATTACACTCAAAGCAAATTGGCCTTACACGACTAATGCCGTGTCAAGTGCCAATTAATCTAGAGACTTTGAATAAATTGACAGCTACAAAAAGAACACCTCCACTCTGAAAATGAGAACGGGAAAACTTAAGAGTCAAGTGTAATGTTCCAACTGGAATCATTTCAGAGATCATTAAAAAGAGAGGAGAACGAAGCTAGTGAGTCACTTGGTGCCGCAATGAGGGGGTCAGGCCCAATCAGATGGGCCGACTCCCAGCGGATCCGGGAAACACTGCGGAGATGATTTCTTCCATGTGAAAATGTTTACATTTACATGGTGCTGTTCATGTCAGGAACCCCATCTTTTCTAACTCATTCGCTCGTTCTTCCCCTATTAATATTGCCTCATTTTGTGTCCTCAAATTAACCATAAGAAAAAAAAAATCTAAGGACTAGACATTTACATTTTTAGTTTTTTCAGTTTTAGATATTATTCAACCATCATGCCCCCACGGAACCTCAAAATGCTCATGAGAGCAAAAACTATGAGCTTTCCCTTTAAACAGTTGAAAAGCTCCTGATTTTTTTTTGAGTAGGAAATAAAAAAGAAAGGCTACATGGGACTTCATAAGCACACACAGAAATTTTAACTCGAGTCTTTTCTCAATTTCAATATACAACAGCAAAGGGATAACAGCCAGTTATATGTGTCTCACGCCAGAGTGATGACCCCCGTAAACAGTCCCCTACGTCTCCCCAAGGCTGCAGCATGAAGCCAGCTCTTAGGAAGTGTTTGCTGATTTGAACCCAGGCTTTAATGCTGAAAGGAAATGATTAGAAGTTGAAACGACATCGTCTGTACTCCCAACCTGATGTCAGGAAATGTTTCATTCTGGCTATCTGAAGAAGAGCAATTAAAAAAGAAAACTTTATCCCACCCCCCAAAACATTTTTGTGAGTTGTGTAACCCAGAGGGATCTGAATGATTCCGACCGCGTGGGCTGCGGTTTACACTCTAGGAAAAGAAAACAGGGATGAGATTCTCATAGAAATATTTGCATTTCTCCAGAGACCTCGCCCTAATCCAGAGGGTGTTTCTTGCGGCCTGCCCAGGACCTCTCTCCCCTTCCTCTGGGAAGGGCCTCTGAGTTTGTTTTGAGCAGCCACCCCCTCCCCACTGGTGAGAGTCTTGGTGGTCCATCAGGAAAGATCCCTGGCCTGCCCTTGGCCAATAAAAAGGCCGTTGTTAGCAATCAGACAACTTCCCCTGCAGCAGGCGTCCTGAACCAAGTGGCCCCAGCACCGAGGGCGGGGGAGCGCGGAGTCGCCCAGTAGGGGGCGCTCCTGCTGCCCAAACTCCCAGGGCCCCCGGCCCACGTCTGCCCCTTCCTGCCTGGCTCTTCAGGGCTTCCTCTGGTCAGCAAGTTTCTCAGAGCCTTCCGGTGGGTTCGGCACCCCCCACCCCCCACAGGGTTGGCCAGAGGCGGAGTCTGCGCCTGCAGCCACAGGGCCTCACACAGCGGCCCCCCACCCAAGCCCTCACTGGACGGCAACGTTCGCCGGTCCCCTGCCGCCTGGATCCATTCACCGCAGATTTTTGTGGAGCAGGACTCTCTGTCCGTCTGCTCAGATGACCATGTGAATTCAGTAAAATAATAAAATTAAGTTGTTGAAAATGTTGCCTCATTCTCAGCGGCTTCCTTCCCGTCCCTGTCAGGACTGTTCTACTTGATGATGGAATTATTCATGAAGCAGAAGATTCTATTCCTATCAGAAGAGAGCTTTAAATCTAGGTTCTATTGTATTTAAAGGCAAAGTGCTGAGCTTTCAGCCAGAAACGCAAGCAGCACACAATCGAGTAATCAAAGTGGAAAAGGGGGGGTGGGGGGTGGTAATGTAACATTTTCAAAGCTCTTTTGTAATCCTCATGGTTTACAGTAAAAAATCAGAAAGTCAGGCCCAGGTGAAGACCAAATCACGCGGATGACCTGTGAGACCGTGAACTGTGAAGGGACCGTGAGGCGCAGAGGACGGCCCGGTCCTCCGTCCCAGCCTCGGCGTGCCGGCTCACCTTTGCCAGGGACCAGAGCCTTCTGGAAGGCCTCCTTCAGAGAGCTGTGCCCGTGTAAGAGTCTGTGGCTGGGAGTGACAGCAACGTGGGACGCCCCATAAATGGCCTCGGGGGTGGCCGTGTAGGCGGTCAGCTTTTCTCCTGTGACTTGCCCGTCAACCTGGCAGGGGGAGAACACAGTCATTTCACTTCTACCCACCCCTCCAGGCTGCGGTGACCCCAGCCAGTCCCCTTCTCCTTCCCCGGCTCGCTCACAAACACTGGCCACGGCCCCAGGGATGGGGGGCCCGAGGCGGACCCTGCAGGGGCAGAGGGGGCGGGACAGAAGAGGGGCGCAGCCCACCGCCAGGCCGCATGGCGCCTCGGATCGCAGGAGGCCACAGCACGCTCAGAGAGGCCACCTGGTTTTCTCGGCTCCTTTGTTCACTAGTCAAAAATAACTGTCGGTGTCACACTCCTTGTCCTGAGAAAGGAGCTATGTTCTCCTGCAGGATTTCAGGTCTGGCGAAAACAGAGGCATCTACCTTCCTATCCAGAAACAGCCGCCGAGGTGAGCCCTGCTTGGAAGAGAGAAGGAAGGACAGCCAGGGCTTCATGACCAAGGTCCTAGGGCTGGTCAGATGCCTTTCAAGGAAGAGACTATGTCAGGCATCAACCAAAGTCTGACTATGTGACAGAAAGGACACAGAGGACAAATGCTCCTTCCTTCACACATCCATTCAAATGGTTTCAGAGTGAGGTGCTCGGGTCCTAGAATCCGAAATCCCCCTATGGCCTGCGTCCCAATTAGGTGGTACCTACAGATCAGGCCCAGGGCCACCGAGGCACAGCCACATGGCCCTGCACCCTCTGGGCTGAGTGTCCCCTTCTGAGACCTCTCATTTTCAGGGGGATCTGGGACAGAGATGGAAATCTTTCCATAACGAAATGTTGGGAAGGGAGAGAAGGTAGAAGACATACTACACATAGCAGCCCAGGAGCTGTGGGACCCTCCTCGTCACCCTGGTTGAGAAGCAGAGGCCTTCGACGTGGGACCAGACTCAGGCTAACACGCAGGACCCCAAAAAGACGGCCCTGGGAGTCTGAACGAAAGGCACAGTGGCAAATCTCACCCCCTTCTCAGAAAAGCAGTAAAAGGTAAGGAAAGCTCACTTCAGGGGCTGTTTTTCAAGGGTTTCCAGGGCGCACACCCTCTGGGGGGGAGGGCCCTGTGTCAGCAGCTGCCGTGAGCTGGGCCACATGGGCGAGGAGGTGGCACAGGAATCGTGAGCTCAGAGACAAGCAGTGGACGCCAGAGGCAGTGTCAGAGCGACAGGGCCCCGAAAGGTAGGTCGACTCTCTTCTCGGCAACTGCTCCCCTCTCCTCTGGTTGTAACTGGGACTAAGAGCGGGGATGGGGTTGGAGCTAAGTGAACAGGGAACACAGGCCTTGCTCGGAGGAAGGGAATCAGAAGGATAAAAGGGACAGCCAGGTGAGAGGCAGCAACGGAACAATGTTCCAGCCTGCAGAGCCAGAGGCAGGCTTGAGGGGGCTTTCCGGGGCCGGGGGGCTTCCGTATGGCCTGCAGCAGTGTTTCTGCGGCAGGTCCCCGCTGTGAGCCCCGGCTTGGCGCAGTCCTGGGCAGCTTTACGGCTGTCTAGTCACCGTGTCCCCGTTAGCTTCAGCTCCGTTTTGGGAATGCCCCAGTCTGAGGGTCAGTGAGAGCCGTGGACCCGCTGCTCTGGGAAATGGCCACACGAACGTTCTGCATTTCACTTCGGAGAGTCTGTGCACCCCCAGAAGGCTGTCTATAGCTGCGCTGTCCAACAGGGGAGCCAGGGCAACATGTGGCCACAGGCGCTTGAAACGTGTGTGCCGTTAACGTGTGAAAGAGCAGATTTCGAAGACTTGGTACTAAAACCAGAGGGTTAATTATCTCCTTCATAATTTTTTTTTTTTTATTGAATACATCTTGAAACAGGAACATTTTGAATATAATGGACTGAAGAAAATATGTTATTAAAATTAATGCCACCTGTTTCTTTGGACTTTTAAAGTCATGGCTACGGGACAGTGTGAAATTCTGTAGGTGACTTGCCCTCTTCCTGCTGGACAGCACAGTGTAGAGCCCACGTCACTGGGCTTGTCAGTGACTTCAACAAGGAGGAAGGGGGCTTGTGAGCACTGATTGTGGGAAACTGCTTGGTCACCTTTAACATGAAGTCCAGGTGGCAGCCCACACAGTCCCCGATCCAGTGGGCCTGCATGCCTTTTATTCCATACCATTCCGGAAGGTCCGCCAACCCGTCCCGCATGGCCTGTAGGAGTGAGAGAGAACACAGGGGGAGATGCACAGGCTGGAGAGCAAATGACGCGGGGTTTGCAAAGGAAGGACAATGGGGACACAGGAGGAGGTTCGGGGTTTAGCTCTCTTCTCATTCACTGTCAGAGGAGGGAGGCACATGCGCTTAGCATGACCCAAGTTCGTACGATGGGTTTGACCAATTTCTTTAATCTGAGTGGGTCAAGGTTTCCCAGAAAAATTAAAATGAGCAAGGAAAGACCATAATTCACGTCTTGGATGAATGTGGTAAGTGCACCCTCTCCCGTAGGCTGGGAACTATACGAAGTTCAAGTTTATGAATTTTGAAACTCTAAGGTAAGCCATTCATGGTAAGAGTGTTCTACAGCTCAGCCATACCACACATAAAACATATGAGATCTTTGCATTTGAAAAATAAAAGTTAATGGAAGGGAAACCACCACAGTGATTTATATACACACTTGCTATTAGAAATGCATATTAATTTTCATTGTTACTTGTCTTTTTCTAATCCGAAATTTAACCCTGAATAAAACAGAGGCTTTTCTATACCTTATTCCCTGTGGCCTCAAGCACATGTCAGCGCTTCTCATTAGATGACAAGACGCCTTCCTCCAAAGGCAAATTTAAAGGAAATCACATATTTGTAATGTGAAGAGTCCCATTTAAAATTCCTAGCTGGGTAATGATTAATACAAGCAACATAATGATGCTTTGTTTGTCTGGTGCTTTGTAATTCATGAAGTACTTAGACGTATATCTCTCCTCCTGCTGTTCAGTGCTTTAGGACCCCTCGCACGCGAGGCTGCGGGAATGGACGTGCCAGCGCCCAAACCAGGCGCACAAACAGCAAGTGTCCCCGTAGCTGCGGGGACACTCACGTCATCGTGTGATAGACAGCACAGAGCTCCTTCTGCCCCTGTCCTCCAGCTCCCAATCCATTCTCATCAGGAGAGGCTGAAAGCTTCAGGATCCGGAAATTTCTTGGGAGGCAGAAATCGTGGATAATGAGCACCATCAAGCTGACCAGCACTGTGTCCCCTCCACACCAGGGCCTCGCTGGGACTAGGCACTGGGGGCCTGGGCATACACAAAGCGGATGCGCCAGAGTCCCTAATGTCAAGTTTAAATACAGTAGCCCCGCCGTTCACGGGGGGTATGTTCCACGGCCCCCAGTGGATGCCTGAAACCATGATGGGACTGAACCCTGTATCTACTATGTCTTTTCCTATAAAGGTTAATTTAGAAATTAGGCACAGCAAGGGATTAACAACAATTACTCATAACAAAATAGAACAATTATAACAATGTACTATAATAAAAGTTGTGTGAATGTGAATGTATCAAAGGTTCTGATAACTGAGACGGCCCCTAAGTGACGAGTGGGCGGGTGGCACACACAGTGTCGGACGAAGGGATGATTCACATCCTGGGCGCGACGGAGTGGGACTGCGCCAGGCTTCCTCAGGCTGCTCAGAACAACTTGCCATTGAAAATGTATGAATGGTTCATTTCTGGAATTTTCCATTTAATACTTTCCAACCACCTTTGACCACGAGTACAATTGTGAAAAGTGAAACCGGGTGGAATTGGGGGTGGGGTAGGGGGGCCTCGGGAACCCATAAACGACATCTGCTGCTGTGAGTTGGGTAATGGCAACTCAATGCCCAATGCCATTTGCAGCAAAGAAATATGGGACCCAGGTTGGGGAGAGGCGTCAAGGGAAGGGAACACTGGGTGGGAAGGGAGGGAAAAAAGGGAGCAGCGAGGAAAGCAGGAGGGAGAGATGGGTGGGGGAACCCCAGAGGGGGAGGAAAGTCCCAAGAGCTGGGTGGGTGGAGAACAAAAGCTCCAGAAGGAAATGAAAGGAAGGAAAAAGAAGACTGAAAACAGAAGCAAGGCAGGCCATGGAGACCTGGTGCGGCGGTGGGTGGGGGGCGCGGAATGAAAACTAAGGAAGGACACAAGTTATCCTGGGCGGTGCCCAGGCAGCGGAAGCGTGTCTGCCCACAGTCGGGTGCGGTGCACAGCAGCTGCAACAAAAAGCACCGGGTTTGCCGCCGGACCCAGAGCCGTGTGAGCCTTCCCGCAGCCCAGCTCTCCATCTGGAAGGTCAAGCAAAGGAAAGAGGGAGCAGACGACACGAACGTGAAAATAGGAAGGAGACACCTGCGTGCAGACTAGGAAAAGGGCTGCGCTGGAAAGCGCGGTGAGGGGGTCAGGCTGTCCTTTAACACGTCATGCCACGGCTCAGTGAAGGGAGATCCCCTCCCTTCCCGCTGCCAGTGAACCCCGTGCTGCGCCACCCTCCAGGCCGGGACCCGACTCCTCCGCGGGTGATTATGGGTCAGTTTTAAAACCTGATAGTTCAACATGACCTACACCTCACGACAGGGGAACGATATTCTACTAGGAAAGCTTGCCCGGTCTCCCCGGGTAGGACCAAGGGCATCCGGGGCTGCTGGTGTTAAGTAACATAAAGAACAGACCAGCGTGTGCTCATGCCACACAATGTCCCAGCTTCCTGCGGCCGGGAGCAGGCTTTCCACAGGAAACATTAAATCCTTTATGGTTACAAATAAAGTTGTCCAGAAGGACGGTTATGTTTCTCTATTTGTCTGAGTGAAAAATGACTTCTACGAAGGAGATGGAAGTCCTGCCTCGGGTTCCTGACTGTTCATTTCCCACGAAAGGGACAAGCTCTCAAAAACACCATGCCTGCTTCATGGCCTCGGCACACGCTGCGCTCTCGCCCTGGAACGCCGTTTCCACGCCCTCCACGGTGGAGGCTGAGAGAGGCCCGCCCTGCCACCCTGTCTAAAGGAGGTGCCCTTCTTGCTCCTTGCTCCTCTCCACGTCTCCAGGGTTCATCTCCTGTCTGCTTGCTTGCTGACAGTCTGTGCCCCCTGGGGGCCAGGACCATGTTCCCCACTGTATACGCAGCACCTATAGTTCCTGGTATACAACAGCCGCCTTGAATATGTAAAAAAAAAAAAAAGAATAAACGAGAAACAGGCCTCCTCCCAAGGCAGTGTAGAAACCGATGCTTTCCCTCGCCTCCCCGTAACGAAGAGGAAGCCAGCCTCTAAAAACCTGGAATCGTCATGGCTCTGGCTTCAGCAGACCTGTCCCAGCGGTCACACTGCTAACTGGGGGCAGGTGGCCTCGTCTTCCTGGGACACAGGCCACGGGAGGCTGGCTCTTCAGTGGGCCCCTTCGGGGCCTTTCAGTTTCATGGGTTTCCCTGCCCTTCACTCTCAGGGACCCCAAAGGGCCTCGAGCCCAGGGTTGTAAGTGTGCAGTTTCTACTTTAAGAGAAAGTTACAAAAGTCCCCTCTGCCACCCCTCAAAATAGTGGACCTTAGATTTATCTGGAGGTGTTTAAAAATTACTCATGGTGGTGGCTTTAAGGCAGTATAAGGTCTTGATTCACCAAAAAACGTTCAATAATATTCTGTTATATAGTTTAAAGGTATTTAGTTGGACATGAATTCTTTAGAAATTCATTGACCACGTATATAAAGGACACATACACACACTCAGCTAATTCGAATATTTACTTGAGTAAAAAAGCACCATGCAATACACAGATGATGTATTATAGAATTGTACACTTGAAACCTAAAAAATTTTATTAGCTAATGTCACCTCAGTACATTTAATTAAAAAAAATTTTTTTAAAGCCTGTTCTCCCTTTCAGAGGAACAGTTTCTCCGTGCCTTCCCTTCCAGGCTGACACAAACCGAACAGGAACACGCAGAGCCATACACGTGTGTGACAGTTTAAGAACACACAGAACCAGGCAGCTCCCTCGGGAGCACACTCACGCCCTTCTTCCCCATTTCTTCCTCAGGCGTGTTTTTTTCTCCCTAAGTTCTAAGGGGCCCACGAGACCCGCAACCAGGGGAGCAGTAGGCAACGGCAGCTCGTCCTGGGCTAACCCCCCGAACCTGTGCCCAAGGCCCCTTTTTCCCCCGAACTGAAGCAGCCCAGCCTGGGCTCTCCTGTTGCTTCTTGCTCCCTAAGGCCTTCCTTGTTTCACTGTCTCAGCTTTAATAAATGTGCTCGTAAAAACAAAACAAAACATTCAAAAACCAACCTTAGAAACACGAAAGCACTTCTGCTACTGACAGCACAGACCTGAAAAGGTGAGCGGTGGCTTTCAGCATCACTTTACAGACGAGGACGCAGGTCCCAGAGGGTGAGCCATCTGCTCAACAGCACTTAGCTAACTGGAGCCAGGCCAAACAGCGAGGTCTCTGAGTTCACCACTCAGCCCTCACTGAGCTACCTTGCACCTCCCCATAACCTTCCTTGACGACCGCACAGTGAACGTCTGCGGTCAGGGCTGCCCGGCGTCTGGGGTCTCTTCTTTCTCGAAGGGAAGTGCACGATGGGTGAGTGGCCGGGCCCCACCACCAAGTGTGGAGGCTTGAAAGGGGCTACCGTCCCCACCGCATTCTGCTTCTCCGTCGAAGCAAAACAGTGTAACTGACCACAGGCTCAGTGAGTGCTGGCACACTGGGGTGACGCAGGAGCGCAGGGCCGACGGGGTTAATGCCACGCCAGCGCTGAGAGGCTGGACATGCTGGCACCAGTGGCGGCAATGGCTCAGCCTGACTACTCCTGAGGCAAGACCCGAGCTGCGCCCGGCTCTCCGGGCTCCCGCCTGAGCCCCGCTCTCCAGCCCCCCCATCCAGCTGGGAGGGACCTGATTCTCTTCTGGTCCCTTCCCTCTGTCTTAAGGGAAGCAGAGAATCTTTAGGAAACAAGTTTCCTAAACTACCATCAAAGAATTTAAAGAAGTTGGTATCCTGACATACGTCTCTGTTAGCTGAAACTATACTGTGTTGATATCATTGTAACAAAAGTGTAAAATCTTAACCACATTGATTATATATTAATAATAATAATGTAAATAAATTCTTCTTCTTCTAATAAAACTGGGCATTCTAGTCAGCCTTTCAATTTACAGAGCACCTTAGGGGACAAGCA